CTGTACACTGTGCAATACCTACAGGTTATTATTCACTTGTAGATGACAGGGGGAGCAACCAGATTCTTAATATCCTTATTTAGGTCACCAATAGGTTTGTCCTTTATATTAATGTTCCATTTATAAACAAAATGTAGAGGGTTAATAAATGATCAGTTGATAGTATAGCAAGTCAATCAGTTACTTGAAACCATCTTTAACACCTTCTTCTGATGTGCTTATAACCATCTATATTGTAACATAGTTATATTTGTTAATCATTTATAAAGTATGACCCCAAACACTAAGCCATACACCACCCCTAAAAACTATGCCAGGAGTATTTCACACAGCACTGAAATGAAGCACTGTTTGTATAGAATGCTAGACCTCCATAAGAGTGTCCAATAGCATATAAGAAGTGAAGAATATCATGAAAGTGGAGAGGAAACAGGTAGGCAGAATGTAACTGAGGTGAAATTTGGATAGAGGTCCAGGCTTAGCACCCTACACTAACAAAGATAGTAGGGAACATCTAAAACTGAGATCCTGATCCCTTGTATTAACATCCCGGCTGATGACCGTTCAGTTCCCCCATGCTGACTGCTCCCTCCACTAACTGCATATTAGAATCACACACTCACACCCCACAGGCACAATTATCTTTGTTCTTCACCCCATCAGTTGTTCAGTTGAATTATAGTCCTAAAGCTGATACTTATTTTATTGTCTAGTCACTGGCAGGCTTTTGGGCATGGACCCCTTGTCTGAATAGTTAAACTGGCACTGTATCCTAAGCCTCTATGACTCTGGGCAAAATCGGTTTTCCTAAGCTTTCTGTCAAGAAATTATGGTTTTATGAAAGACATGAAAGCTCACCTCATATATTCCTGTAATGCGTATGTGTGGAATGAAGCCTTCAAGTTTCTCCTGATCAGCTGAGAGGGGAAGAACTGATGGTATTATTTGCTAGTCTTGTTCATTCATATCTTTGTATTATTTCCTGTTTATGAGGTGGGTTTTTTTTACAATTTTGTAGAAATTCTTAACCCTGGAGATTAAATTCAGGTACCACGTTTGATGGCTTGAGTGTGATGTAACAAAAAGTGGACTGGACAAAGGCACTGAAAATATGCAGGGAACAGACCTTCACTGGAAGGTCCATGGATGAGATTAAGATTTAAAGTGGGCTGTTCTACCTCTGCCCTCCACCCCAAAACTGGAGAACTCTGAGAAGACCATGATTCTGGGAAGCATCCCCCACAACATGGGCACCTCGGTGCCCACCCATCTCTCTGCCCCCCAGGCGCCTGTGATCAGTGACTCAGGTCTGATGCTGGGTTTTGTGGGGGTGCTCCCAGCCCAACCCTGTTTCCATGGCGATGGTGTCAGAGGCTGATCCAGCGTTGGCAGATGCACTCCGCTCTGTATTTCCCCGGGGGTTGCCTAGGAACAGTCTCTCGCTTGGCGTCACGCCCTGAAACCCAGAGCCCAGCCTTGCCCTGCCAGGCCCCCCCACGCCCCGTGATGCTGGAGACCCCTCCGACCCACATAGCCATTGGCAGGCCCCACAGCGTCACGTGGGGGGAGGTGACACCCAAGGCCCCCCCACTCCCAGCCGGTCCCTCCCCGGCCCAGCCCTCCTGCTCCAAGCCAATCAGCGGGGTGGGAAGCTGCCGTGCGTCGCTCCGCGAGCCTCACCCCCGCTCGCTGGAGCCCGGGGGTTGTATATAAACCGGCCATTTCAGCAGCTCGGCCTCAGAGCCCGCGGGTCCCCCAGCAGTCGCCTGTCGCTCCCTGGTTCTAATTTATTAACCTGTCCCCGTCGCCATGGCCGATGCTGCCCTGTCCTTCGCCAAGGATTTCCTGGCCGGGGGAGTGGCCGCGGCCATCTCCAAAACAGCCGTCGCCCCCATCGAGAGAGTGAAGCTGCTTCTGCAGGTGGGTTTGGGCCGTGCCCCGGGGCGGCGCGCAGGGCTTGCATGCGCGGGGCGCTGGGCGCTCGCCCCGGGGGATGAATGGGCTCGTGCCCGGCTCCCGCCAGGGCTTGGTGCAGGCGGGCGGGCCCCGAGTGCCCTGGGCTCGGGGAAATCCTGTGGCCGGGGTGTGTGTGGACGGGACGCCGCCGCCGCAGCTTTGTCTGGAGCTGGGACGTGGCCGCGTGGTGCATCCGCGAGCCAAGGAGATGCCGGCGCGCTGATCCGCCTCCCAAGGTCGCTGCAAGGAGAGGGAAGGCCCGGGCATCCCGGGGCAGGGGCTGCCTCGGCTTGGGCGAGGGGGCCGGGCCGCTGCAGCCAGCACGACCCCCCCGGTCTGTGCCTGGGGCGAGGCTCCGCTGCCCCCCGGCCGGCCTTGCCCTGCCCAAGGGGGCGGTCTCCTTGGCCCTGCGGGCGGCTGGGCCCCATCGGGCCCGGTGTGCGGGGCTCAGAGCGAGCTGGGGCCTCTCCCTCCCCAGCCCCTGTGGGGTCCCCAGGCGCAGAGAAGCCGGGCAGAGCCGGAAACCACCCGCCTGCCTCGATCGGCTGCCGGAGCCAGCTAGTTCCGCTTATGCAATCGGTGCCGGGGCCGGCTCCGCGCGGAGGGGGGTGAGAGCAGCCTCCGCCCCGGCTCCTTCCCTCCGGCCTGGAGGCTCCTTGAGGCTGCATCGTCCTCGTGCTCTGGGCCCAGCTGCGCCCCCTGGCCCAGCCGTGGGGACTCGGACCCCCGAGTGAGCCTCCATTGACTCGCCGCTTGCAAGCATCATGCGGTAAAACCAGCGCGCAGAGCCAAGCCGGCACAATGCCCAGCCTCAGGACAGCAAACCGGTGACCTTCCAGGCCACACGACCCCACATCCCCAAAAAGATAAAGGCAGGCTATTAACTTAGCTTTGCTCCAAAGTAGACAGCCCATGCAACTCTGATCTGGGCTGGATCAGGGTAAATTGCTGCCTTTTAGGTAATATGGAAAAATCCAACGGAGCAAAGCATATTTTGCTTTTGAAAAGAAATTAATGTGCAGTTCTGCTCTAAAGATGTTCTTTCTGACTGTCCCCCAGGAGGTAATCCTCCTTATTGTCACATCATTCTAATGAAAGTTTGACAAGTGTACGGAGGAGGGCTGCTCTAGAAAATCCTACCACTTTTAAATGGAGCCAGAAAGGTCATTATTACCACCCCACCCGAAGACACAGCACTTCCTGTTTCTGGGTCAAGTGAATGGCAGGTGATAACCTTGGAATTCAGCACTTACCATCTCTGCATTCCAGGAGTCTATTGCACTGACATCTGCTTAGAGGACAGTGATGTTTCTCACTGAAGCAGCCTGGGACTTTCATGACACTCTGGTGTAATTAGGCTTGGCAAACTTAATTTTTATTTATGATTTTTGACCGATAATATTGATCGATCTTAAATTGATAAAAATACTTTTTGCAGTTGTAGGGAAATTATGGGAGGTCAGACAATTATTTAATGACAGTAGTCAATGAGATTCAAAAAGTTAAAGCCTTATAACCATGAACACCAAGTGTTAGGATATCCTTGAGTAAACATCCTTAACGCAAACTGTGAGGTCTCAAGCAGCATTTTTCTTATGTTGCCTTATCTGTAAGTTGTGATTGTTAGTTGTGTGCAGTGAAATCATTGTTTACTGGTACAAATATAATCCTTCCACACCTAGTTATAACGAGCAAAGTTCAACAATAAACTCACTCTAGCTTGTCTCTTCACCAAATTTAAGAGAGCCACGCTTAATTTTATCCTCATTCTTGTTTACTAGTAATTCATGTTTTCACTACCAAATCTGTCACGCTTTCATTTATAATTCCTTTAGCTTCATAGGACCAGGCTTTTATTTCATAACAAGGTTTCAGCATTTTTAGTCTAAACGGATATCCTTCAAATTTACTTCCCCTCTGTAGGGAAAGACGGTCTATCCAGACCCTGGAATCAGATGCTAATTATTAAATGCAAATTAAAGCAAACATTTCTACCAAGTGAAAACCATGAAACGTCATAAATCCAGATATTCAGGCTTGTAATTTTATCAGCACAATGATATTAATCCAGCTTGTTTTACTGTTTTACAGGTGCAGCATGCAAGCAAGCAGATTGCAGTAGACCAGCAATACAAGGGCATCATTGACTGTGTTGTCCGTATCCCCAAAGAGCAGGGTGCCCTGTCCTTCTGGCGTGGCAACCTGGCTAATGTGATCAGATACTTCCCTACTCAAGCCCTCAACTTCGCTTTCAAAGACAAATACAAGCAGATCTTTCTGGGTGGCGTTGATAAAAGAACCCAGTTCTGGCGTTACTTTGCTGGTAACCTGGCATCTGGTGGTGCTGCTGGTGCTACATCTCTGTGTTTTGTCTACCCTCTTGACTTTGCCCGTACCCGTCTGGCAGCTGATGTGGGTAAAGCTGGAGCCGACAGAGAATTCAAGGGTCTTGGTGACTGCCTGGTCAAGATCTTCAAGTCTGATGGTCTTAAGGGCCTGTACCAAGGCTTCAATGTATCCGTTCAGGGTATCATTATCTACAGAGCTGCCTATTTTGGCATCTATGACACTGCGAAGGGTAGGTCCTTTGAACTAACTTCTTAAAATGCATAAGAAGCTAGACAACAATATTAAGGCTTTTAGAAGGAACTCTAGATTCTAATGCAAAAACAGATTTCCTTTGGTGTTCTAACATCTCCTCCCTCCCACAGGAATGCTTCCTGACCCAAAGAACACCCACATCTTTATCAGCTGGATGATTGCTCAGACAGTTACTGCTGTTGCTGGTTTGACCTCCTATCCATTTGATACTGTCCGTCGTCGTATGATGATGCAGTCAGGGCGTAAAGCAAGTATGTATCTAATTCCCATGTAGAACATAATGGGGGTGAGCATTCCCAAAGAAACATTTCTGTCCAGAGATGCAAGATGGGTGCAGAGAACTCTACATCTGTGTTCCAAGGCCCATGGGATCAGAAGGGTTTGGGCAGGCAGGACTTCATGGTTCAGAAGAGGGATCTTGTAAATGGATGTTGGTTTCCTTTGATGCCCTGGCTAGCCATACTGTCTATTGCTTTAGCAGTTGTACCACTCAGAGTATAAGTCCTCTCAATAATCTGGTGAGATGTATGCTCTCCATTTATAGGAGAAGTAGTCCATCGTTCCCAGAATGTGCTGCAAATCACTGGCCTGGACCAGGATTAGAGCTAGAGTTCCTTGCTCCATGAGACCCTGTAGCCCTTTGTCTAGAATACATCCAGACACTCTATTTGTTGAATATAAACAAGCGGCAGAAGAATTCCCAGCAGATGGTGGTGCTTCTAGTATAAGCCGTGAGGATGGGAGAGCAGCATATCTCCTGGGGTGATTTGCAGTGAAGACTTGCCTTTATGCAGCTGCTAAACCCAAGCACTTGAGATGTTAGTGCAGTTGCTATAGACAGAGAAACTCAAATTCTTGCCTATTACATCTCAGTATAGACCTGAGATGCTGTTAGTGGTGCAAGTGTAGTCATTCAAAGCTGGCAGCCTTGCTGAGCCACTACTGACCTGGACGAGGAGCTTGGCCATGAGACTCCTCTCACTAACAATCTCTGTACTTTCCACAGCTGACATCATGTACTCGGGTACAATTGACTGCTGGCGAAAGATTGCCCGTGATGAAGGGTCCAAGGCGTTCTTCAAGGGTGCATGGTCCAATGTACTCAGAGGAATGGGTGGTGCTTTTGTCTTAGTATTGTACGATGAAATCAAGAAGTACACTTAAGTTACTTCCTCGTGTGAACTGGCATGTTGTATTATGTAACTTACTCTGACCATTCATGGACTGTCGAAACTGTATCAATTACAACTGGTATCCATATTCTTTGGCAAAGGGCAGCTGTCATGCTCACCTGACCTCTGTCTTTATCAAGTCATTCCCCTGATGATGGGACTCAAATGTTTTTATTTCAGGCACTCCTGTTTAAATAACAAGTCTGAGGAAATAAAAAAAAATCCAGAACCAACTCTACTAGTGTTGTACTTGCTTTCCCTCTTCTCAGTAAACTGTCTCAGCTGCACTGGAGAAAATGCTGGAAGAAGCATAGTAACTACATAGTAGCACTTTGAGGGGGCCTAAGGGGATGTCATAGTCCAGGTAAATCTAAATTTCTAATGCTTGTGCTACTAGGAAACGGGGCATATTTCTTGATGTACCCTCTTGAGAGGGAGGGGAAGGGATGCTACCTAACTTTGACTGTTTCCTTTAAAGCCACAATCTCTTTTGAAACCACCACTTTCTGAACAATCCTGAATATGTACAGACCTTGTCTGTACTGGCATCTTAATTCAAATCTCTATGGAGCTCCAGTGCCTGCATAGATACGGTAGCTGTTAAGTGATAAGAGGCCAGCAGTACCTGCCTGTGCCCCCCCCCGCCCACTGGTGCTAGTGAAAGCTTGAGCTTTAAACTAGCCACTCTCTAGGCAGATAAGAGGAGCCAGAAATGGTTTAACCCATGTCTGATGTAGCCAGAACTCCCAGGGACAGGTATGCAATGGTATGAGGGAGTAACTCACTTGGAAAACTAGGCTCTCTGTAAGAATTTCAAGGAAGTGGCTGAAAACTACTGACTCCCTATTTAAGAACAAAACCAAAACAGTCAGGTATGGGTATGTCCTCCCTGCAGAGCGAACTAGAGTGATTCACACCTGATTGTGAGCACCCAGGATGGTCCTGTTGCCCAGCTGTGAGCAGCCACTCAGCAAGACTCTACCCAAGCGTGTCCACTGAAGTGTATCCAGGCTCAGGTGAGGCACTAGGACTTGTGGGGGGACTATCCTCTGCTTAGTGCTGCAGTAAACTGAGCCACTCTTATTCCCTGTGAATTGGGGGAGAACTTGGGCAACCAGGAGGAGTTATGGGAAGGCAATGGAGAGCTATGCCCACCGAAGGGGGTCGGTCTAGTGACATTCTCTCCCCTCCTCCCTCCCCCAAGTGTGAGTACTGTCTTTAGGTAGAAAGCACCACCCCATGTGAGGGAGAGGTTTTAGTGTGTGGAGGGGAGCTGGGTTAGGGGTCAGTCTGGGTTAACTGCAATGAAGACCAGCCCTGTTAAACATGAGCTAGCTTTCTTTGGGTTACATAGCCTACCTACAAATCAACAGCCATTGCACCTTGCTTGGTACTACATAACCTCTACCTCATCCCTTACAGCCACAAGGGACATGCAGCTATGGTATTGCCCCACCTAGATGTGCAGGTGTAGCTTACATTAATATAGGGCAGTTGGGATACTTGGTGCATCTATCCTGATCAAATGCAGGAAGGTGGTTCTCCCATCCCTAAATCTGACTTCAACGAGGGACCCTTTCCTAAACCACCCTTCTAAGCCTCTGTCTCTAACTCAATCAGTTGTTAGAGCCATTTGTCTCAATCATCAAACTGAAGTGGTGTGACTCAGTCAAACAGCCCTACAGCTGCCTTGCGAAGTGCCAATAGTCATTTTTACTGTTGAAAATTAATTCTGAATTATAGAGGACACAGCCTCATTAATTATAGCTGTAAGCTAAGGGCCGGCACTACTGGGCTATGCATGACTGGCGCTCTGAATTCGCACTTGGCATATTGTCTCCTACCAGCCTGCTATTGCTTGCCAGGGCTTCCACCCTCAGATAATGCTTCTGAGTGACCGTGTACAGTAGCCTTCCCGTGCTATGAGGGTGCAGAGCATTTTGCTTCTAGTCCAGCAAGACCAGTTGAATGTCAAAGAAGTTGATGGAGAATGAACTTTGGGTAATTGATTATACGATGGCACCAGGGAACTAAATGAACCACCATGGAGCAGGCACCTCTGCATTTCCCAGATTAACTACCCAAGAGCCTTTGCTGTGTTTGTTTTTTTTTTT